CTGTAATCGGGTCACGCACATTTTCATTTACTTTTTTAGATCCACGGATTTTCTAATATTGAATATCTGTATAATCGAAGATATATTTTCTTATTATTGACAAAGGATGATAAAAATGGAAGCGGTATAGAGTAGTTTCATTTCTAGCACCTAGTGGAATAGACGCATATTTCGAATACCAAACTGTTTGTGAAAGAAAAATGCGATGACGGGATACACCATTGAAATTAAAAAAAAAACTTATTCCGCGCACATAAAATTTCTAGTCTAATGTAAAAATAGTTGCGATACAATTACAATAGCATTACGCGAAAATATGATTCAACATAAAAAAGATAACTCGACAAAATTACTAGATAACTAGTTAATTGTTATTAGTGGTAGTGAATGAATTCTTGGAAGGCAGTGAACGTTTCGTTTCGTATCACTTCTACCCGGAGGCCCCCCTCTTTGCCGCGCGTATTGTAGTTTTGTAGTGTGGCTTCAACTGTACGCCTAGTCTGCGAATGGCAAACGGCCAGTTAGGTCGGTGTGCGTCAGTAGCAATAACGCAAGTTTGTTCCGAACAATGTTCGTGTTTTAAAATACAGCTGATTTTATTAAATCTTTAATAAATGGTGGATAGTGCCAGTGTTAAAAATAACAGATAATTAACGAGATTGTTAACAATTTTAATAAATTGTAGTTAAATAAGTGACTGCTGAAAATATTTGTTGAATTTTGTGTTAAATCGTGATCTCCGAAGTCGTTGGTGGATCATAAAAATTTTCCAACCGGCTTGTGAACGTCAAATGTGTTTATTTGAGAGGCGAGTGGCGCCCGCTTGTCCTCTAAATATGACTTTAACAGCGAGGTTATCTCCCCAAAGTGAGTGAATTATTATAAATATAAATATCGTTACGCAACAGGTCTTTGTATATTTAAACCTATTAAGAATTCCGGTAATGGAAATTGGCTTTATAGTTAACAAATTTTAGGTTATAAAGAAAAGTTTTGTTTATAACTTTTTTTCTAGTAATATACTTTGTTGTTTCATCAACAGGTTTGAAAGTAAGAAAAAGAATTTCATTTACTATAATTATAAATAATATATTACTCTAAAGTAATTAAAATGGAATAGTAAATGAAATCCTTTTTCTAAGTAAGAAGTATAAACTTCTGAACAAACTTTTTTTAAATAATTTAAAATGCATACATATTTCGTTATTTTAAATACTTTTACTTATTACTAATGTAGGAAGCAGTATCGTGAAATCTGGTAACCTTGATATTGTAGATATGAAATTTGTTTAAAGTAGAAAAAAAAAATTCCTGAAAGTAGCAAAACCAATGTTATGTTTTATAAATTTAACGAAATGTGTTTTAAAAACTGCTGACGTAGTTTTAACGAAAATTAAAAGGAGTAAATTTTAATAGCAATTACAAAAAACTACTATAAGTAAATCCAGTTTTATTAGCTTCAATATAATTTAAGATTCAAAAACATTGTTTATTCTTCACATGTAGCAATTACCAATTAATTCTGTAGAAGTGAACTGTTTTTATTTGCCACATTGTCATTTCTCAGCTCTAAATAGCTCTAACTTCATCATCATTTTACAATACACCACCAGTGAGGGCCTTGGAGCCACAAGTTACGGGTGACTAGGCCAAGTCATACTTAACCTTCCTTAATGTTTGATCTACAGGAAAATGAGTAGTTCCTAAGATTTCCCTTACAAATTTCCTGATACTATGTTAGCATTAATACTCAATTGTCTAATAAAACTGTTTCTTTCCAGATGCATGTGTGGAAGTGGGAGTGCCTCTCAATAGCTGGTCCAGCGGCGTCGCTTGCTGCCCGAACTGCAGGCATGAACTCCGAGTGTCCCTGACACCGTGCAGCGGGAAGGCACATGCCCAGCCACAGACACCTGTCACCCCACCCTTCACAATACACCCTCCTTACTTGCCACAATCTCCATTATATACCACCCCATCCTCACCTTTCATCCCTTCACCATACAATGACGAGCTGAGACGGCTAGCAGACACTCTGAGAGCATTAAGGCTCTCAGGGTGGTATTATGGAAATTTAGATTGGCAGGTGTGTGTTATTATTTATCTTTAACTTAACTTATTATACTTAAGAGTTATAACAAAGAAACATATTAATATTAAAGCTGGCATTAAAAATGCTTTATATAGCCTGACCAGAAATGTAACCTTGCCATGTAAAATAATCTTTGCACACAATAGAAAGTGATGTAATAAAAAAGCTGATTGAATCCTGCAGGCCTGATTTGCAGGCAGATTTTAATATTCACCGTTAGGCTTTATATTCATAATTTAAAAATGTATTACATAGCATTGTATATAGTCATTAACAATCTGTAGCTATTGTATAATAGAAATATTTTTTTAATTTAAAAATTCATATTTCCTAGACTCAAGGCCATGATATTAGCTAAATTAATCTTTGTGTATTAATTTATGCATTTTTTGTCTTTACAGGGTGCTCGAACCTTATTAAAGGATGCCAGCGTTGGTGCTTTCGTTATAAGAGACTCTGGCGACAGGAATTTCATATTCTCACTATCAGTACAAACAGAAAGAGGTCCCACTTCTGTGAGATTACACTTTGAAGAGGGATTTTTTAGGTAAGAACATTTATAATATAATCAAATGATAAATTACTAGCTGTTGCTAGCGACTATGTCCACGTAGTACTACTTTTTAGGAATTAAAAAGTAGCATAAAACAAGAAATAGTGTAAAATATAGCCTATGTTACTCATTGATAACATAGCTTTTTATTGATGAAAGAATTTGTGTAATTAGCCCAGTGGTCTTTAAGTTAATTCTATACATACAAAAATCTGAATCTTCCATCGTTACAATACAGTATAGACATATATTAAAAATTCCTTTTAAGCCAATAAAGAAAAACTAATTTGTATTAATTTGTTTATAATATAAATTACAGTTAGATAATAGCAAAGCAAATTAGCAACTTACCAAATAGGTAGATTTGTCTTCAGGGAACAGCTTAATCATACTATTAAGTGTCTTTTGTAACTGTACTTCATGCTTACTCAAACTGAGTCAGTGTTAGTCACTAAAACTATTATTGGAAACCCGAACCATGTTTACAAGTTACCTATTGTTATGTAAGATTAAGGAAACAGATAAAGGGTGTTTACTTTTAAAATCAATTGTATTTAACTCACTTTTAAACTATCACAAATATTTCAATGTAAGCATTAATATATAATAATAATAGTTAAATAACACTAAAAATAAATAAAAGAGGTGTAAAGCCAAAATAACTACAATCATAGATAAACTGTAAATTGTATTTTTTACTTTACATTTAGTATGAGGTTTTGGTTACCATTTAACAAGTTGTATTAATTTGTCTCTTCCTATCTTTACAGATTAGACTGCGACAGACCACTAGCGAGGTATATGCCGAGGTTTCGATGTGTAGTGGAACTAGTGCAACATTATACTCGTGTGGGAGATCGAGGGGCTGCGGGCACAGTGTGGGTAGACAGAGAAGGATGTACACATTCTCCCGTCCTACTCAAAACACCATTAAGGAAGAGTCCCCCATCTTTACTCCATACAGCCAGACTTGCGGTACACAAAGCATTGTCTAACCCTTTAAGGCCTAAAATATGGTGTGCACCAAAACACAGGCTGCTGCCTCTACCCTCCACTGTCATAGACTATCTCGGGGAATATCCATACTCAGTTTAATATTTGGATCTGTTTAGTTTTACTTGCATACCTCTTGTCTGTTGGAGTTATAACCTCAAATCAGTTAACACTAAAATCATAATATTTAATCTATCTTGGGAATTATGGTATAAAACTGCCCGATAACGCATTTATAAAATATTCTGCCTAACCAGTTATAAAAAACTTTGTCCTCTAATGGTTTAATTACATCACTTTCAATATGCAAGGGAATTAGTTCAATATTTTTCTGCAATATGGCTTAGTTTTTTTTATACCTGGTTGGCAATTAGAAAATAATGTAAAGGTTTAAAAAAAGTTAATTATAATCCCAAGAGAGTGTCAAATAGTTGGTACAAATGTATGTGTCATGACGTCATAAGGCCGGCTCCTTTACCATAAACGTAAACTTTTAGTAAATTAAAATTTCTGTATTAATTAGTATTGAATAATGGGACTCAAATATGGTATTTAGTGAAAATGTTTATTGCGACTTTGTTAATTTCTGTATATAAGTGATGTTATGCAAGACTGAATTCCAAGAGCCGCTATGTACATTGTTTTACAATTTGTTAGTGCATTTGTAAAGTAAATGGTGACCACCGCCAAATATGGTTTAGTTAATTGTTACTAATGCCTAATCTTGTCCATAATATTAAGAAAACATCACATGTAAAGATATATTTTATTTATTTATTTTCTTACTAATACTTAAGCTTGCTACAGACTTTCAATTCAGACAATTTTAACTACAAATTCAAAATGTTCAGTTAAAAATCTGTAGGCAAAATTTTAACTATCACTAGAACTGTACAGTTTGAATATACACATGCACAATTTCAACTGATCAGTTTGTATCTTCAGTTAAAATTGTCAGAACTTGTTTTGGACTGTAAGTTAATCACTGAATGGTTCATTTATCATAAAATTTTGTTCCTATCTAATTTCTAATTAAGTTAGTAATAATTGAATAATCAATATATGCAACAAACGGCAAGAATCTTACAGTCAAAATATTTTCACACATACAAATATAGTTTTGTGCCATCATAGACAAAAAACATCCTTCTACAAATATATTTTATGCAATGGTAATTTTGAGGCTGAAAATGTAAATAATTCTTGTTTTTGTTTTATTATTTATTTTTAATTATAATGAAAATAGCTGAATTTATTTGTAAAATTCAAAATACTTAGTGACAAACTTCACGACCATGTAATGGTTTTTTTTTCGGTTAAGGTAGAAATTTAGATAAGGTATTGGCTAGTGATGTTAACTAACGTAGAAATAAAAAATGTACCTTAAATAATCTCAATTAGTATATTACTAGGTTTCACAATAATATATTTTCTATTTTAATAGCCAAATTCACTTAACATTATAACTAGAAATGGTGGGACATTGTACTATATGATTTATAACACGGCTAAAACTCACATGGGAACTTTGGGGCTAGGGCACGCAGTGACCGTCGCGACGCGATAGCAAATAAAGCCGGCATCCACTAACCCTGAAGAAGGACCCCCTACGGGTTTGACACTGGTCGGTGCCTACATCCAAAGTTCCCACGTGAGTTTTAGCCGTGTTATAAATCATATAAAAACTGTGGGGACTGAAGTTGTATCATAAAGTAAATTAAGAATGTAAATTTTATTCTTTAATGGCAATAAACGTCGAGTGATGCTAGATTACTTGACTAATTTATTTTTTTACCATTCAATGATAAAGCACCAGTTGAATAAGTGTGACATAATAGAAAACTTGTAGAAATAACATATTAAAAAGAACTGCAAATAATTTATACACAAAAAAAGGAAATATACATTATGCCTATAAACTTATTGTTTTATTGTAAGATTCCCTTTGTGAAAAAAATCATATACTAATATCTAATACATATTAAAAACAATTTAAATTGTTAGTAAAATGGGACTAATCTCATAAAATTCAGTCAAAACATTGAAATTGAAATAGGTAGTTTGTCTAAATAAGATAGATAAGTTTGATAAATGACGCATATGAAGTATCGAATTACATTTCTGTGGAGACTAATGCCGTACTTAATAGACAGGTATCGTAGTGAAACAAACACGCATAGCGAACAATTATGAACTATCGATAGTCGGTTTGAATAAAATTTATCGAAATTAACTAAAATTATTATTTTCTTATTAACTAATTTAGAGGACAGTTCCAGTATTGATTATAGTGTAGAGAATTTGGTGATAACAATAATAATAGCGAAATCCAATTCGATTACGCACGGTTTGTTAGCTTTTTAACTATTTTTTATGTGGTCTGTATTTTTAAAAGTTATTTATTAGTCTGTGCTATTTATCAATACATTCATCTTTATTTAAAACAACAATATTGTTAGAAAAATATTAGGAAACGGAAGGAAAAGTGGGGGGGTAACAGGTTCTAGTAGTAATAAATATTTATTTACTCTCATTACTGTAATGTATAGGTCGTAATGAAACGGCGGTTGGTTTGGGACTGATTTAATGTAAATCATCTGCCGGTAGGTTATACAAACCTACCTACATTAAACACAATATATATTTTTTTAATTCATCAGTTAAAACTATGAATCTATCGATTCCAATTTCTATGAGAGTAAAAATCGAAAAGATTCAGGGCTGATTACACACAACCATACCTACTAAATTGTCAAACTAATCTATTATTTAGACAAACTATCATGGATGTACTACTAGAACAGGTTTGTACGTAGTACTCATTACCTCCATGCAAACTATATATTGCTGATTTTGGGTTTCAACTAGCAAGATTCTCACAGATGATAAATTAACCCAATACCCAATAGATTCTAGATTTTTCAGAATTATGACGTCACTTAACTGCAACTTACTAATAGATAACGCTGAAATTCTAATACTGATACGGGGATAATGTTCTTTGTTAAGATTGTTTGTGTTTACTTGTGCTATAAAGATCAAGATGTAGAGGTATGCCTTTCCTACGAAAAACTCTTCAAGCAGTTTTTCAACAAGTATCAAAAGTAACTGCTCCTTACCTAGTAAAAATACACTCAGGTAGGGCAACAAATTGACGAATCATTTTTAATAAATAAAATTCCTTTTATTTTTTTTATGTTAGACGTTGACGATTTACAGCTATCGATAAATCGATATTAACATCTTGACGACACATCACTACAGCCAGTTTTAATTGGATTATCTTTGACAGTTGACATTGTGTTGTTATTGATTTTATTTAGATGTAAGTGGTCATTGCTTTTAGGGAATAATGAGATTACAACAATTAAAGTAAGAATATTTATGTAATTCAATTGTGCAGTAAAAGCCATGTCGGCAAATGGAAACGGCGCAAATTATGCGCCGTTGAAACAAACATTGTCGGATACAGAATCTGAAGACGATCAAAAGGTTGAAAATGCTGTTCGTATTAGAACTACGGATAGCTGCAACAACTTAGAATACAATAGTGGTTTGCAATCTTCCAAAAATTACAGTACTAGCGATATGGACGACTTAAATACTAACGCCAACACTTTGGAGAGTACAATGGACAATGTAAGTTTTCTTCAATCCGATGCTTCTAATAAAATGTCTTTGCCTCGCCGCTGCGCTTTTGTGGCATCAATATTTATGTGCATCTTCACAGTTGTAATCTTTTTATGGGGAATTCCATGTTCTAATGTGGGGAACTGTTCAAATAACCAATGGCGCGATAAATCTGCTGGTTGGGAGTTACCCTATTACGATTTGGAGCTCTCTGGCGCAATTCAAGTTGTTAATGGTGCTATACCGAAAACAAAGAACTTAATATTTATCTATCGAGGCAACCATATGAAGCATGAAGGATTTAATAACAATGACAATGTTAATGGAGTATTACTTATTGTTGGCAACACTGGAGAAGTTGGATGGTTCACAAGAGAAAAAAGAATACCAACGCAAATAAATTGTAATCTAATTGATGTTAACAAAGATAGACAAAGAGATTGTCTAGTGTCTGGTACAGAAGGTCTATTAGCAACATTAAATGCTCTATCCGGAACACATTATTGGCATGTCAATAAAAATGGTAATGTCTCCACTGATATAGCTGCAATAGATTTTCCAATTATTGTGAATGACACAGACAAAGATGGAGTTTTAGATTTATTAACGATAGCTACAGTCTATCCCAATACAAACCACAATGAACTATTGCTTATTTCTGGAGCCACTGGGAACATTATTGGTGGACCGTTGATTATACCTGAATGTACATCTGTGAAGCTGTTACCGGAAGCAACATACATTACATATTTGTGTAAAAGTGGGCCAGCTGAAGCTGTGCGGCAAATTTTATATCCACATTTACTTAAAAAATTATCAGCAAATCATGGTAGTGAAGTACCTGTACCGAAAAAGGCAAATTTAAGCTTGAAAAAGAATATAGGAAACACTAGAACAGAATTTACTAATGGACCAGGAAAACTTATAGTTCAGAATTCAGGGGAGTGTCCAGACTCTTGCAAAGTGAACCTGACTCTGGTGCTAGAACAGAATGGAACCGCAAATGTAACTTGGGAATACACTGCAAACCACGTGTTCGCAATGACGCCGAGCTCGTTTTCTTTCACAAACTCGATACGAGGATTCGTGTTAAAATTATGACAGTGGAATAGTGCCCATTTAGCAAATGGTGCACGAAAAGTCGATGAAGTAAGATACAATATGCAAAACCAAAGTCCGAAGAATGTTTTCTACTATCGCCCGATGATAAATGTAGCTTCACTTTCGTCATTTATAAAGTATACTAACTTTACTGCTCATGATATCTCGGAGAGAATAGTATTGGTGTCATTTGATAAGAAACAGATTCATAATGTAAACGTGAGCCAGACGGATATAATACAGATATGCGTTCGTGAGTCTATGAACAACTTGCCGATACCATTGTGTCAACCGGACCTAGAATATCAGGAACAATCATTGAAGATCGCTGATTTAGATGGTGATCGGTCCAATGAAATCATTTCATACTACAGTACATTTATTGCTCCAGAGTCATACACACCAAAGAACTCTAATCCTTATGACAATTGGGAGTTAACTTCTGTTGTACGAGTTATACGTTTAGAGTCTGAATTGCCAAAGTTATTTATGACAGAACATTGATCTGTGCTATTTTATAGGAAATAATCTGCCAGTCATGGTGTATTTGTTAAATAATTATAGAATTCTTGCCATTCATGACATTGTTGCTGTTTTAAGCTTGCCATAGATTAGTTAGTGATAATTGTTTGAAAAAAATTAACATCTTAGATTGTGCATAATCTGTTCTCTAATAAAGTTAACTCTGTTATAAAATTTTTGAATTGCTAATTAACAATGTACCAAAGATATTTAATATTGTAACTAATTTATAAAATTCTTTAATCTAGCTTTATTTTGGATTTAATTTGATCATATTGCATGTTATATCATAATTGTTGATTTACTTATTAATATATTAATCTAAACTATGTTATGAACTAATGGTACTTAACTTCACTTAACATGTTAGTCATATTGTATACATAAGTTAATATTTTGTTGTGAAAATATCTCGAGTGTGAAAATTATTTGCTTAATGCTTTGTTCCAATATTTCAAAGGCTGTTTGTAGTTTCCCTGTATGTTTTCATATAAAGTTTTCAAGCACTGGTATAACAATAAGTATGACTGCTGTGGCACTTGGATTGCATATGCTGTTTTTATTTCCTCAATAAAAAAAAATAACTTTATGTGATTCAAATGTCACATCTGTTGTAACCCACCATAGATCTCTATTAAATGGATAGGTTGTTTCGCTTTAGTTTAAATTTTACGCTTGTTGACATTACAGTCGGTATATTCTATCTTTAATTATTATGTCCAATCTTCACCACAAATACCAACTGCCACCATGTGCACAAAATACCACAGCTTGTAGCCTGTCCATTTATTGAGATCAAGATAATGCACTTAGTTTTCCCAACATTGGCATTATTTTTAAATTAAAAACATCTGTGATGTTATAGATATTGAATTTAGTTGTGTAGATTTTACTGCAGGTTTTGACTGTAGTAAAACTTGTATAAATACAAATTATTTGTTTCAAAGAGGATGAGTCATGTGTCAATACAAATATTGCTGCAGTTGAATTCCAGTTTACTTATATTTGTAGATAGTATAAGGATGTGTTTATATTAGTGTTGGTAACAAAATTGTATTATGATATGAATCTCCATGGAGTCTGATAAATTATTGTATTTCAAATTGTTTCTTGTATTTGCAGAGAATTGGAAATATTTATTAAATCACATAATAAAAAATGAATGCTTTTTCTTGCTTGGTATAAATATGTAATTCCTTGAGTTGATTAAAAAATACTGGAATTTGTTTAAAATAATTATCACCTATATAAGGTTAGCGTGGTATGGACATGTTATGCGACGAAACGATAAGGACATAAACCAGAGTGTTGACTGAGTGTGGATGGCTACAAAGATAGAGCAAGACCGAAGAAAGTATGGAGTGGATTCAGATATGACGGCCAATAGAGATGTATGGCAGAGCACATACTGTGCCGACCCTCCGTAAGGGATAAGGGCAAGTGGATGATGATAATCGACGAATTCTTCCAAACTTCAATATGTTGTTTCAAATAAAACACATTTAGTTTTCTACAAAATTTATATTTTATATTTAACTTAAATAAAAAATCACAACGGAAATAATTTCCTTTAATCTTTTGATTTTGTGAACATTATTTCTGAATACTTAATTATATCTATAATTTGTGTGCACAATTCCTAGAAATAAAACAGACAAGTTTATTTAAAATCGTTATATCCCCTTTTTCACAATTAACTAAATCGAAAGTCAAGTCAAGAACTAAATACTAAGTTGTTCCACATTACAGAACTACAGATTTCATTGGTAATAAAATAAAAGCACAATCAGTCTGAATGTAATAAAAAAAGTAAGGTTTATTAATACTTAAGAAATGTGAAGAAGACAAACTGTACAGTACCTACCTACAAAAATACCAATTTTGACAGCTGTCAAAGACTAGTGATGTGACCTATCAAAGCAGGAACCAAATGAATGATTATTAGTTTTTTTCGTGTCATTTAATTTTATAAGGATTAATTTTGTTACTCTTAAAACATTTAATTAAAACAAGTAGCCTTATCTTAAATGAAATTACTCTAAATATCACTTAGTTAACACAGTAACAAAAACAGGAACAATTTATGACTGAATTACAATCATCGAAGACAGCCAATATGTGTACAAACAAGACGGTTTTCTTATTATGTACTGTTTTTATTACCACAAAAAATGAAAGCAATGTATTCTACATACATGTTACATATGTCTTACATAAGTTACATATTCAAGGCTAGGCAAAATAGAAATATATTACAAAGTCAAATCAAATATACTATTATTAGAGAAAGGTACATAAATAGTATTAATTGGAGATATTTTAATTTATTTATAAATTTGATTATACTTTCTAGAAAAAGTAATTAATACTTCTATTCTAATATAAACAGATGATTCTATTACATAATGTACTTACGTTAATAATGCTGTCTTGTCTATGGTTGTACTACAGATAACATAAGAGGCTCACTAGTGACATCTTTCTATAGTTGTACTATAGATAACGTAAGTGCTTCATTATTGACAATTCGTATATATTCTACAGTTAATGTAAGAGGTCTTTTAGACACAAAATCAATGGTTGTGCAATAATGTAATAGGCTCTTTTGTAGTGTGTCTATGTATAAAAGAGGCTCCTTAGTGTCCATGGTTGGACTACAGATAATATAAGAGGCTCAGTAGTGACATCTTTATATAGTTGTACTACAGATAACATAAGTGCTTCATTATTGACTTTTCGTATGTATTTTACAGATAATGTAAGAGGCCTTTTAAAGGCACAAAATCAATGATTGTGCAATAATGTAATGGGGTCTTTAGTGGTGTGTCTATGGTTTTGCTACAGACAATATAAGAGGCTCCTTAGTGTCTATGGTTGGACTACAGATAATATAAGAAGCTCCATCAGCAACATAGCAACATCTTGACTATAGTTATACTACAGATAATGTAACAGGCTTAGGCACAATTAGAAAAGCTTAACAATTAGAGATATCTCGTCTATAGTATCGCTACAGAAAACGAAGTGGCTTATTATTAACAGTGTGTCTATTTGTCTATAGATTGAAGGCTCACTAGTGATGTCTTGTGTTTACATATTGAAGACTTACTAGTGATGTCTTGTGTTTACAGATTGAAGGCTCACTAGTGATGTCTTGTGTCTACAGATTGAAGGCTCACTAGTGATGTCTTGTGTCTACAGATTGAAGGCTCACTAGTGATGTCTTGTGTTTACAGATTGAAGGCTTACTAGTGATGTGTATAGCGAGACTAGGGCACTACGACGCGCTGTGTGATGGCGCTGTCGTCGCAGACGGCGTACTCCGTCAACTCCACCAGCTTGCTCTCAGCGAGCCGCTCCGCGATACTGTCGCCCTCGTTGTTGAACAATTCTAGCGTCAATCCGTCGTATTCCCGAGAACTGAAAATAAAAATACTATAATTAGGAAAGGAATTTTGTTTTTTTTTTTAATATTATAAAGTAGAAAATAAACGGTCTGAATTCGCCGGAACATGGAAGCCACTGTTGCCTAGAAACATATGCTTTGATTATCTTTGAACTTTTGAATGACGGAGCAAAAGCAGTAGCAACGATGCGCATAAAACGGACATTTCCCCTTTGTCTGCTCCCCCACCTTGGTGAAACCCATTTCCCCTTCACATCCTTTTTTATAGTTTAAATTTTCCCAAATTGTTTTTTTATTGAGAATTTAACTTTTTAGAATATTGTTAGATAAGATAGATTTAACATTATAAATGCGAAAGTTTAGATGGATTGTTTAGAAAAAATGTTTGTTAGAGTTTGCAGCCTAAACGGCTGAACGGATCTTGATGAAATTTGGCACAGATGTAGAGTACAGTCTGGAACAACACATAAGCTTAGTTTTTTTTTGGCGAGAGCTAGTATGAATCAGCACTTATTGAGTTAGCGCGCATCTATACTTCGACCGTGACTTCACTTAGGTGGAATCGTGGAAAACGCTGGTTTATTTATGTTAAAAAGTGAGATATATATGTGGTTGTTACATGACGCGCGCGGAGACCGTCTTGTCGGAGATGAGTGCGGTGAGGAGCGCGCGCGCGTCCGCCCAGTCGCGGCTGAGCTGCGAGCGCGAGCGCACGCCCGCCAGCGCGCACGGCACCGCCTGCGCCGGCAGCGCCCAGTGCCGCGCCGCCAGCTGCCGCACGCCGTCCTCCAGCACCCACGCCGTGTTGCCGTAGTCGATGTACATCACCTAACACATATACTATTATAAAAAGAAAAGATTATAGTTTTCGTACAAAAATGTACGTATTGGAATAACTCGAAAACTACAGGGCCGATTTTAAATTTATTTTCATCGGTAGAAAGGTTATCTGCAACATAGGCTATATTTTTAATTAATTCTGAAGTCACGAGAAACAGCTAGTCTATACTAATATTATAAAGAGGAAAGATTTGTATTTTTGTATGTATTGATATAACTCAAAAACTACTGGGCCGATTTTAGGAATTCATTCACTGTGAAGAAAGGTAATTTATCTGTGAGTAACATAGGCTATATTTTTTATTTTACCACGAACGAAGTCACGAGAAACTACTAATAGGTTATGAATTAGGGTGATAGGATAGTATATTATTGAACGATATCTGAGGTTGCCGGGCATATTATAGGCTATTTTTTTATCACGCGCCGAACTCCATCTATCTTACTAATACTATAAATGCGAAAGTTTAGATGGATGGATGTTTGTTACTACGTAATTTCAGAACGGCTGCCACGAATCTTACTATAATTTGGCGTAGCTGTATATTACTCTTATTTTTTATTTTGTTTTTCTAAATCTCGGGCGATAGCAGATTATAAATTGGTCGCTTTTAGATACATTTTTTTTCTGGCGTTCTTTTCAGTTATCGTACGCTAAGGGCCTCTCCCACCGAATTGTAAATTGTCTGATAACAATCGCACGTATAAAATATGTGATGGAAATATTGGGTTTTGTTGCTTTATCTGACAATGATGTCATTTTTAAGCTATCAGTCAGTGGTGGGTTAGGCCATTAATCTTTATAAGCATACTTCAATATTCTGGTCGACCCTGGTGGAGGAGACGACGCGGGCGCGGTACCACTTCTCATCAGCGGGGTACAGCGCCGCCACCAGCTCGCCCAGCGCCGGAGCTAACTGAAATAGTATAAATCTCTTTGTTAATATGACAAAACAAGGGTTTTTGCCTATTTTAGATTACAAATTAGATTAATGACATTCAGATATACAGATATAGAATATATCTAAGTATATGGTAGTTACCGTGAAAGGTTTATACGCCATGCGGGCGGCGGGGCTGTTCATGTCCCGCACCAGCGCCTCCAGCGAGCTCGGCGGCAGCACCACGCCGAAACTGGACGCCTCCTCTAACAAACATTATAAAAAATTACCTATGTAAAATCCAACAATCATATATACATGGACATAGAAAAATCTTGTTTATGGATACGGTAGAATAATATGTAGTGATCAGTACCCTCGCACTAGGCATAACAATCATATAAATATTATAAATGCGAAAGTTTAGATGGATGGATGTTTGTCAGAGTTTGTAGCCTAAACTGCTGAACAGATCTCGATGAAATTTGGTATTGATGTAGAGGACAGTCTGGAAGAACACATAGGAGACTTAGTTTTATGTTAATTCCATGAAACAATAATATAAAAATAAGCCTACATGTATTATTTCTTCCAACAAACACACATTTAAAGCGACGAAATCATTTTAATAATAATTTTAAATTTAGTGTTCACTTTTAATCAATAAATGGTATTTTTTTTACCATTTTTTATTTAAAATTGGACATATGTGAAACTAAAGTATATGCTCTAGTCAATATAAAGAACATTTAGATTCTTATGGGAATGTAATATTTTATATAATTATTTGCTTTTATATACTTTCTTTCCAATTTGTTACATCACTCAAACTTGGCTAAACCATTTTTCATAAGGGAATGAAAGCAAATACGCTTCAATTCTATTTTTTTAGGCTTATTGTAGGAATATACTAAAGCTAACTAGATAAAGGGAAAGAGATCTATACTAAAAATAGAACAGGAGAGGAAAGATGTACGATACGACAACCTTACAACCACCATAAGAAGAAGAATATACCACCATAGAAGTCAAAATAGAAGGGAAAAGATTTAAAGGAAAGATGTAAACATACATATATAAATTATAAAATTGCGTCGTATCGTATTAAAAAATCATAAGGAAACTGAAGGTTTCTTCGACAAAACCATATTTTTTAAATTAAAAGAAACTAGGTATAACTTAATCTACATTTATGTCTAGTTAAAAAAAACAATGTATTGAAGTTAATTTGTTTTTAACCCTTACTGAACATCCCCCTTCCTTTTCTATACCTTTCTTTGTCTCTTGTGGTAACTGCACGTAGAAGCGGTCGTAGTGTACAACGTGGCATACATACACCTGCAGCCAGGTTCCGGGCGCGGGCAGGGGAAGGGTCAGGCACTTGCCCGGTACAGCAACCCGGTCCAACGTCCACCCCTCTGTTATACATAGCCTAATTTCACTTTATTGTATGTATTGTATTGTATGTAATTGACAAAGGAAACGGCCAATTGAATTCGCCGAAAAAGCGAACCACCTTCTGCCTATAGAAATATATTCCCTACCACATAGGTTGCACTAACCGACGGATGGACGCATATAAAGCGGATATGTCCCCTTCCCTTTCTCTCTACTGTCTAATCCACTTTCCCTTATAAGTTATATCCGTATCTCGTTATCTCTAGAAAAATTAAGGTGCTAGGCTTTGTACTGAGGACTTATCACGAATACTGAAGATTTCGTAACGTATAATTTGTATTCCATTTGTCCATACGAATCAGGTGTTGATGACGTTACGAGTTCGTTTTCGCAACTGTCGCACAAATATTCGTGATAGACCCTCTGATGTTAATGATAACGCGTAGCAGAGTATACTCGTTCCTGGGGTATTACAGTGACACCACCAAAGACAGTTGATCCGTTTCTATGTTATATTTTACCATTATAATTGAAAGTCAAACAAAAAAAAAGCATGCAGGTTAGTAAAATTCTTCCAAGTATAAAATAGCAATTTGTTCACACATAACGCGGTGCAGTTCCAATTAAATATAAATAAATATACCAGTACATAATACATTATCCTTATTTGTTGAGATATACAAGCGCACACAAAATTTAAATACAGGAATCATAATTACTTATATACATATATACAAGACCCATAAAGTGCACATACAATTACGAACACAATCACATACGTACGAGTACGCATAAGTACCAACGTGGTCCGACCGAGAACAATCGTGCTTGTACATATACAGGATGCACAAAAACATATACGCGGACGCACAAGAACATACGTGCACGCATTTAACGCGACCGCACAGAACCATACGTGCACGCACTAGAACATACGTGCATATACATTTACGCAAACGTACAAGAACATATGTGCACGCACATATACTCGGACGCACTAAAACATACATGCACGTACAAGAACATATGTGCACGCACATATACTCGGACGCACTAAAACATACATGCATGTACAAGAACATATGAGCACGGACATATACGCGAACGCATAAGAACATATGCGGATGCACCTACATATGTTACGCACATATAAGATATAAC